AGAGAGAGAGAGAGAGAGAGAGAGAGAGAGAGAGAGAGAGAGAGAGAGAGAGAGAGAGAGAGAGAGAGAGAGAGAACTGAGGTACATAACTTGACCTGTTGTTAATCGAATCGGTGAAATTTAATATGTGGATGGCGTTTGTGGCCGGTTTATTTTAAGTTTAGCGATTCTGTTTTCTACTCTTTTTCGGTGAGGATGATAATGTTCTTCGAATCGTTGAAGATTCGTTGCTGTTTACTATTTTGTTTGTGACCGTGTATGACCTTGCTGTTTGTGACTATTGCTGTTTACTATTCTGCAATCCACAAACACTTAGAAAGCCAGAAGACGCCAAGAGCTAAAACAGTGATACAGAAAGCACCAGCCATACACTAACAAAGAAAACATAGAGTCAGAGACAGAAAAAGCGAAGTGAGATTCTTCATTGGGGTTGCTTCCTGACTTTTATCGCGGGCGGAGCTTATTGGAGCAATATTAATACCGCATACCATTGTCTACGTGGTATACGGTACGTATTGGGCGGCTTTGGGCCTATGGGCGCCCCCAGGGATCATACACCCAAATGCCACACACACACACACACACACACACACACACACACACAAACACACACACACACAAACATTTTCTGTTAGTCGGTCTGGTTGACCGACGAATGACAGACTTGCAGAAAGACTGGCGTGACAGGGTGGCAAGGTGACAGACCGGCAGACAGACATACAGGCTGGCAGACAGACAGTCACACATACAAACCGACACGGTGACCACTCACACAGACAGTTGAAGTGAGTGACACACAGACGAGCACACAGGGTGGCAGAGTGACAGAAAGAGAAACAGGGAGGGTGACAGTTTGACTGACAGACAAATACTATTCGTCTATCTGTCAAACTGTCACCCTCCCTGTTTCTCTTTCCGTCACTCTGCCACCCTGTGTGCTCATCTGTGTGTCACTTACTTCAACTGTCGGTGTGAGTGGTCACCCCTGCTGTGTTAGTGGTCACCCTTGCTGTATGCTGTAAACAGACAGAAAGACAGACAATCCGACATAGTGACAGTGTGACGGACAGACAAACACAGAACGTGGCAGAGTGACAGAGTGAGACAACCATACAGACAGGCAGGGCAACCGACAGACGGAGAGACGTACAACCTCAATATACAGATGGGAAAAGACAGACATAAACACAGGCAAAGACAGACAGACAGGTAGGCAGGGGCAACTGATAGACGGAGAGACGGACAGAAAGACCGACAGACAGACGGGAAAGACAGAGTCTGACAGACATGCACACAGGCAAAGACAGACAGGCAGGGCAACATCACACATTTCTGTCTGCATTGCCTGGTAGTCGTTTTTTTTTTAACCCGCGTTTTATGGTGCTGTGTACAACGGTCATCACAACTCACACACATACACACAGTGACATGGCAGCGCGGAATCTGAGTTCGATGGAGAAGCAACATCTCTCTCTCTCTCTCTCTCCCTCCCTCTCTCTCTCTCTCTCACTGTGTGGGCCCTTCCCCTTCACCGGGCATCGTCCTTCGTTTTCTTGTTTTGTGCAGTGGCTGATCGTCGTCTGATTCCTTGTCCTCCTCCTCCCCGACCTCCTCGTCCGCCCTCTCCTTTGCCTGTTCAGGGGCAGAACGTGGCCGCCCCCTGCCTTTGGAGGATCCCGAAGAAGGACGCCCTCTTCCTCTCGAGGAACTTGAAGTAGGACGCCCTCTGGGTCTCCCTCACGTAGATGGTGCACCTCGTCGACCTCCTCTACCCCCACGTGGAGGCCGACAACTTAGAGGATCCCACATGCCACCAACATTCGCCCCCAGGCGACCAAGCAGTTGTGGTGGTATGCTCTGATCGTAGAATGCATGTGGCTCCTATTGCGGCCCCTGCTGGTCTTTCTGGTCCTCGGGTTGTTGCTCCTCTTCTTGCTGCTCCGCGTGCTGCTCCTCGTGCTGCTCCTCTTGCTGCTGCTCCGCGTGCTGTGCATCCTCTTCTTGCTGCTCTTCCTCCCGTTGTTGCTGCTGCAACTGTTGATCCTCTTGCTACTGCTGCTGCTCCTCCTCCCGTCCCTTCTCGTCCTGCTCGTCGTCGTGCTACTTCTCCTCCTGCTGCTCCTCTTCTTGCTTCTGCTTTTCCTGCTACTCCTCTTCTTGATGCTCCTCATGCTGCTCGTGCTGGCGCTGCCCCCGAGCATTTAGTGATGCTATTTGATTGCTGCAATGTGTGTCGCGGATATAGGGAGTAATGTCCTCCCGCCGTGTCCATGACCTGTTCGAGTTAGACCGGTCATCATTCCACTCCTCGCGTGGGAACTCGTCTTCCCCGTCCTCTTTCTCCTCGCCCTGCTCCTCCTCCTTTTCCTCGTCGCCCTCCTCGTCTATTTCGTCAATGGCATTCTGTCCCTATGTCCTCTTCTCAGATGCACGGCGAGCAACAACAATGTTAGTGCTGCCCCTCTCAGATCCGGTGGCCTGATGCATGACTGCATCATCGTCTGCCGCGTCAAGCATACCAGCTGCCTCACCTTCAAGATTCTCGTCCACCCAGTCACGCTCCAGCCCCAACCACCCTCTTACTGTCGGCGCGTTCCCCCCCTGCTCTCCAACCGGAGGGTCCAGTGCGAGTGCACAAGCTTCTCTGTACGCTTCTGCTTCAATTGGTTCCTCGTCTTCGTCGGCACAAGGGACCACGTGCTCCAATTCCTCTCTGCAGGAGAGGATGTGGTCTATATCGAAGTGCCTTCATCGCTAACTTCTTGATCTCAGGATGACCACTTCCATGTCCCTCTCATCACAACATTGCATTGTCCTTGTCTGCTCTCCTCGATGCTGCAGGGTCATTGAAGATCCCTCTGCTAAACTGGAAGTAGTACAACTGGTCTTTGCAGCCGTCGACCTCCTGACTCCCATTCTTTTCCACAAGGCGGTCCACCACGCTGTCGAATTGCGTCATCAACTGCACATTGCTGAAGATGGGGATATCCCTCAATGGAGGGTCCCCAACAGTCGGGCCACATCATGAACCGGGTTAAGAAGCATGTCCGTCCTCTTCCCCACATCATACATGTTGCTGCCCCGCTCAGCATCTATGCGTGTGGCCTCCGCAATGTAGTTCTTGAGGTCCACAGTGACATCTTACACCCGCGACAAGCAGTGAATATCCTTGTCTACCATGCTCAAGACTTCATACAGTCCCTGCAATACGGAATGCAACTTCTTCACGTTAGCCCAGAATGCCCTGTCAGTAATGACGGACTCAACCTCACAAGCGTCCCTCCGAATGTACGGTTGCCAATCCATGTTCGTCCACGAGTCCCCCAGCGGTAGGCGGCGAAGGGCTCTCTCGCACGTGATGAGTTGATCCAACATCATGAAGTGGGTCCCGAACTTTGTCAGGGCAGGACGAAGAAAAACTCTGACCTTGAAGCCCTTCTATGCAGTCAACTCCGTCCTCGGTGCAGATCGTGGCCGCCTGTGGGTCCTGAAGAACTCACCGCCTTATTCGCTTTCTTTATGATATCTGTGGCCCATGGCTTGCTGCCCACATCCTGCATGAAGAGGTCCATGCAATATGCAGTGCGCTGGATCCAGTAAATCTGCTGGAATTCCCTCAACATGGTGGCTGCACTTTTGTTGCCAGAGAATGAGTCCATGAAGATGGTGGTGATCTTGTCCACCTCGATCTCACTGAAGAAATTCTTCCATCCCCGAAGAACTGAAGCAGCGTCCTTTTCCTGGTCGCTGGCATCCACGCACTTGATGAACAATGACTTTAACTGCCCTGCGAGGATGTAATTGACCAACGACCAGCCACAAATATATGTCATGCCATCCGTGATGAACGTGCAGCCCGCGACCTCCCAATCATCCCTGATGGCACATTCATCATCGTTCAACCTCCCTTGCAAGCCATCTAGAAGAACACACCTCAGGGGGGTGTAGCCAGTATGGATAAGCGAATGCGTGCCGACAGGCTGTGGCCTGAAACACGCGTTCACAAACTTCTTGTAAGACTTGCTCTTCACGACATTGAAGGGGATCGCGTTCTCAACAAGTCTCGTCAATCTCCTTCTGTCGTGAGTTTTTCACCCACCTGGCGATGAAAGTCTGCTTCTCGAGTCCCTTTCTGTCAGGGTGTGCTTGCAATGCGTTGGCATGAGAAGGGCCTGCCCCCCCGCCACATTTGCCTCGCACAACGGCACCCATTCCCCCGATGTCCTCCACCGCACTCCCTGATTGTGGATGTGACTGTACAACCCTCCCCACTTTTATCCCCCCCTCGTCGTCGTTGCCTGCTGCGGCCTCTCCTCCCTTCAAACCTTCATCACCGCCGTTGTCCTCTTGCTCCACTCGCTGCACCAAATCCAACAAGTCACGAGGCAATTTATCCCCCACAGCATGCAGCCTCCTCTAGATTGACAGTGTCCCGTGAGGGCAACGCGCAGTTTTTCTTTTCCAAATGAAGTGGTCGACTGCACGCGGTTGCCCCCCCACAAACTCACGGTCACACAGCCTGCATATGAGGCGGCGCCCCACCCCCGGGTTCTGTCCTTTAACTTTCGACCTGGCGCCACCCATGTCCACACACAAAAATTGCCCAGGAACGTGGAATCCTCCATGAACGGCCCCCTTTCCCCATTCGACGGTTCGTGACCACCGTTTCCTGCTGAACTATCAGTTGCAATGACAAGGATGTTGTGACAACTACTGAAGTGAGTCCTGCTGACACGACGGTTACAAATGTTGCACTTGATGACGTGTTGCCTACTAACGTGGCAGTTGCTGATGTGCAGGCCGCTGATGTCATACTAGCTGACGCGTTGGCTGCTGATAAGGCACCTGCACATGCACACAGAGCCACAGACGCGGGCAAGTCAGTCTATCAAGCTTACGAAACCACAAAAAAAGAAGAAGAAAAAAAAACAACCCTCGGGAGCCCCAACGCTGTCGTCCTCCTTCTCCTCCCGATCGTCGTCTTCGTCCTCATCATTCTCCTCCCCCTCGTACTTCTCCCCCCCCCCTCCCCAATGCCCTCTTCAACCTCCTCCTCCCCATCGTCCTCTTCGTCCTCCTCCTCCCGATCTTCCCCTTCCTCCCGCTCTTCCTCTTCCTCCTCCTTCTTCCAGCTTCTCGCCGTCATCCTCTTCTTTAACCCCCCTGCCACTCACCCTCCTTCTCCTCCCCATCGCCCTCTTCCTCCTCCTCCCCATCATCCTCTTCCTCCTCCTCCTCCTCCTCGTCCTTAGCACACACATGGGAAAAAAAAAAAAAAAAGCAGACGTGGCAGGGGAGGAGGAGAAAGTCAGCAGTGGGGAGGGAGGACGAAATCAGTGATCGGGAGGAGGAGGAGGAAAAAGGCGATGGGGAGGAGGAGGAAAAAGCGATGGGGAAGGGAGGAAGACGAAGATCGGGAGGAGGAGGTGGAAGATGAAGATCGGGAGGAGGAGGACGAAGAGGAAGATCGAGAGGAGGAGGAAGAAGGTGATGGGGAGGAGGAGGAAGAAGCGATGAGGAGGGGAGGAAGAGGGAGATCGGGAGAAGGAGGTGGAAGATGAAGACTGGGAGGAGGACGACAAAGAGGAAGATGGGGAGGAGGAGGAGGAAGAAGGTGATGGGAAGGAGGAGGAAGAAGGTGATGGGGAGGAGGACTCGGAGGAAGAAGCGATGGGGAGGCGAGGAAGAGGGAGTTCGGAAGGAGGAGGTGGAAGAAGAAGATCGGGAGGAGGAGGACGAAGAGGAAAATTGGGAGGAGGAGGAAGAAGGCGATGGGGAGGAGGAGGAAGAAGCGATGGGGAAGGGAGGACGAGGGAGATCGGGAGGAGGAGGTGGAAGATGAAGATCGGGAAGAGGAGGATGAAGAGTAAGATTGGGAGGAGGAGGAGGAAGAAGGTGATGAGGAGGAGGAGGAAGAAGCGATGGGGAGGGGAGGAAGAGGGAGATCGGGAGGAGGAGGTGGAAGAAGAAGATCGGGAGGAGGAGAACAAAGAGGGAGATCTGGAGGAGGAGGCGGAAGAAGCGATGGGGAAGGGAGGAAGAGGGAGATCGGGAGGTGGTGGAAATGAAGATCGGGAGGAGGGGGACGACGAGGAAGATCGGGAGGAGGAGGAGGAAGAAGGCGATGGGGAGGAGGAGGAAGAAG